CATAAATTAAAGGTATCTTATATTATTAGATATGTTATTATAAAACATGATTTAGTTAAGGAGTTATTGATACTTCAAGTGCAAAATAATGATATAAAACCTTGATAAAAATACACTTTTAAGTACTAATCACTTGTATTCTTCATTTTTCTTAGTGTTTAATATGTTTTTGTTAGAAAATTTCATGTTTTTTGTGTTTTTTTTCTAGTTTTGATTTTGTTTGGGTTTAAATCTCTATTCTAGTTTATTTTTGGGTTAAACCTTGTTTATTGGTTCGATTCATGGTCGAATCAATGTTTTCGGGATGACCATGTCAGGGCAAAACCAAGCCAAATACTTAAGGTTTTGTTTGGTTTGCCATTGTTTTGATAAAATAAATTTTGACTTAAGGGCATGTTTGTTAAACATGTCTTTAGGTCTATTTTAATAGTTTTGTTTTGAATAAAAATATGGTTTTGCCAAATATGGCCCTAAAAAAATTAAAAATAGAAAAATAATTTTTTCTTGTTGCAGACATCTTAATCCTTATAAAAATTGCATTTCTATTTATATAAAAAAAAATAGTATGGTTTTAGAAAAATACATGTGTTGATTTTCCTTTGCATCTTTTAAAATTTACACCAAGTTTATAAAATTTCTTAATGATTTGACAAATATTTCAATAATTATAAAATTTTAATTCATGTGAAATTAATGGTCAACTTCCTAGTATAAATGATGGACCTATAAGTAGACTAATATTTAAATATCAGTAGTTGACTATAAAATTTTTAGGATTATTTTAGATATTCATCAATTTTAATTGAAAATATTTTTTACCACAATATAAAAATTATGGAGAACCATTATATTTGAATCATGTCAAGACATATACATGGATCCTTTCTATAGGAATTTATCTGAGCATACGAGCTCATAATAAATTTAAAATGTTAGATTTATTAATAGGAGTAAATCTTGAGTCCGAGTCATAAATAGATTATCAATTAGAAACCCATCAAAACCTTTAAATTATATCTAAACCATACAATATAGCTTACCTAAAAAAAGATGCATTAGAGAAGTTAATACCTTATCTAACCATAACCAGTTTCTTACCTTGAAATAAATGATAAGACTAGTATATTCAGGTCTCCCAGTGACCTTGAATCAAATAACTAGGTAGTAACTTCTCAACCTTGAGGTCTCGCTACACCGTGCGTCCACATATAATAATATTATTAAATTAATTAAATTTATTAAACCTAGTTGAATTAATGCCTTGAGTCTTGATTTTTTCTTTTTTCTTAAATGCTAGCTTGGCTTGAACATTTTTTTTTTTTATATTTGAAAAACAAAAATCTTGCTTCACAACATAGCACTAATTTGAATTTGGTCCTATTTGTTTACTTGAAGGTAGTTTTTTTAAGCAATTTTTAATAAAAATTAAATTATTTTTCAATATATGGTAGTATTATAAGAAATGAGTTAAAAAAATAATTTTTAGTGTTTGTTCATATTCTGAAAAAAATAACCTGTAAAATAACTTATTAATGTTTTAATTTTTCTTCAAGTTTATTAAAAAAATAATATTCAAATTTGATAGATAAAAAAGTTGAATGATGATGAAATTAAAATAAAAAATAAATTTCATAAATTATTTTAAATAAAATAAATAGCAATAAAAATAATGGGAAGATGATGAAATTGAACAAAAAAATTAATTTTATAAATTATTTTAAATAAAATAAATAAAAATTAAAAGAATGAGAGCCAAATATAATATATAAAAAATTTCAATTTAAAAGGAATAAGAGAAAAATAAAAAATAAAAAATAAAATTGATATAAAAATCAAATTAGATTAAATTATAAGGATATAATTAAGAAAAATTTTAAAAAATATATAGCAATCAAAATATTAAGAATTAAATTTGATATAATTAATAAATAATATAATATTTTTGAATTTTTTATAAATTTTAGAAAGTAATTTCTATTTAAAAAATAAATAAATATTTTTCCACAAACTAAGTAAAATTTTATTTCACACAAAAATATTTTTCATGAATTAAATTCTTTTAATAATAAATAAATTAAAAAATAATTTCTCTAAAAATTACTTTTCATCGATGGGAATGAAGCTTATAGCTAGCTAATTATAGTTTTATATACTTATTTGAGAAAGAGGCGGTGGAAAAACTAAATAAAGGTGGATTTTTTTTTTTTTTTTGTGTGTGTAGATCCTTAGATAATAGAAAGAGAGAGTGGCAAAGGAGAGTAAAAAAGACGTGAAAGGAGGGTAGAAGAAGAAGAGAAAGGAGAGATATTTATTAGTATAATAACAGCAACAATAAAAATAATAAAGGGGTGAAGGAACGGCGCAGTGTCTGTCCTTTGCCGATAAGCCCGGTGATTTGTTCGTCATGGGTATGAAGAAACACTCAACAAACTCCTCCTCCTCGTGCTTTCAAAACCCCCCACCTTGTTAGTTTACTCTTCACTCTCTTGCTAAGTTTCCTCTTGTGTTCTTTTCTCAACCCTAAGCACACTCAAAAGGAGAAATTCCATGGTTATCTGAATTCAAGTTCTTGTGAGTTGCTCTACTTTATAGGTTTTGATGAGAAATGGTGAGTCTTAAGCTATGCATTATATTTACGTATTTTAGAGCTATACTTAACAACAGAGCTTGTTGAAAACTATATAACTAGGAAAGAAAGCTACAATTTCTCGCAAACTAAAGCTCCAACAGGTTTTTTTTGAAAACAAATAAAACAATTCGTCGATACCACTGAGTTTCTGTTTGGTTTTACAAGAATTTTTTATTATGTTTGTTCTTAATAATAAAGCACGCTAGCTTAAAATATTTTGATGTTGTTCTCATCTCTTTACATCAACAAAGAGAGAGGCTGATCTGGGAGAGGTTGCAGGTTAACATTTCATCGGTTTAAATTAGCAAAACGAACGAGCTTAATGTCTTTGACAAGAATGTTGTTTTGCGGCAAAGAAGAGAGTAGATCTGTGAGTTTTGGCTGTTAGGAAGTAAAGATCTGTGTGAGATACTAAGTAGTAAATACAAACGGGGAAAAAAAGGGTTCTTAACTTTAACCAGATTGTTCCTGTATGTTTCCATGTTTATTGAGTTTTAAGAGGTTGACACCTGTAGACACAACTAGCATCAGTGCAAGTCCTTGTTGGTAATTCTGAAACTCTGGTTTCATGTATGTTTTGTTTTTGGTCTTTGTCATTTAATGTTGTTAATTAGGTGGGGTGAGCAGTGGTGCCTGCCATTTTTAGGGCCAGCGAAAGCTTTAAATACAAACCATTGCTGAGATGGCTACCTGTATGCAATTACTGCTTCTTCTTAGCTTAATTTCCAAGCAACCTCATCAACCCTTTAATCATGTTTAGCTAGCTAATAGCTAGTTTTATTTTTTATTTTTTTTTCTCTATAAGCTGTTTGTGTTTAATAAGCTAACCTAGCTATTTACTAGTGGTAGCTAGTGCTATAGTTAATAAGTCATATATATATATATATATGTATGTATGTATGTCATGCTGTTTTGATTATTATGATAGTGATTTATGGGTTTTGGGTTGCAGGGCTGATGAGAGGGTAGCTGCCATTTCAGGCTTTGCTTTTTAGAGAGAAAGAGCACTCTGTGTGCAGAAGCAGCACTGCAAAAAAGAAAAAAAAGAAGAAGAAGAAAGCTTTAAACGTACAGGAGAAGGGCTAGGGGAGGGTCTCCTCTGACTTGGACTGTGATTTATCGAACTGTTGAGAAATAAATAAAATTACAAAAAAAGGAACCCTTTTCATAACTCACGCAGCAAAAGTACCTCTCTCTCTCCCCCCCAGCTCTCTGTGTTATTGTCATCAATGCATAGGACACACAGCCCCACCTGCGCTCCTCTCTTCAATTAGCTCTCTAATAAACCACCCACTTTCAAGTTTCTCTCTTTCTTTCTAGCCGCAATAAGAACACAAAAGATAAGGAAGAAATAGGGGTGGGATAGAAGAAAGAAAATAATAAATAACAAAGGCAATTAGGAAACAAAAGAGGAGGGTTCCTTTTCTTTTTCTTTTTTTTTCTCTTCTTTATTCTTTTCGAATAATTTGTGTTTGTTAAGGCATGAAAGTAGTGCTATGGAGGCGGAAGAGATTCGGAGACAGCCTTGTAAGTTCACTAGAGTTGGTAATGGCATAAATGACACCAGCAGAATAGCTCAAAAAGGTAATGGTTCTGACCACCAATATCCTGACGATGAAGAAGATGGTGAGCTCAAGAGGACTAATTCTAACAACGGTGCTGGTTGTGGTGGTGGCGGTATTGATGCTGCTGGTGGGACCTTCAATGGTCTTCGTGCGTGGCACCATTCGTCGCGCATAATTAGGGTTTCGAGAGCATCTGGTGGAAAAGATCGGCACAGCAAGGTATGGACTTCAAAAGGGTTAAGAGACCGGAGAGTCCGTTTATCAGTTAGCACTGCCATTCAATTCTACGACCTTCAAGATCGGTTGGGTTATGATCAGCCAAGTAAAGCTGTAGAATGGCTGATCAAAGCAGCTCAAGATGCAATTAACGAGCTCCCTTCGCTCAATCATTCTTTTCCTGACACGCCAAAGCAATTAAGCGATGAGAAAAGAACGAGTGATAGCACTGAACAAGGATTTGATTCAGCTGATGTTGAGCTAGAAGACCTAAATTTTAGGCAGAACCAGAATCTCTCGCTATCTAAATCTGCTTGCAGTAGCACTTCAGAGACAAGCAAAGGTTCAGGGCTATCACTTTCGCGTTCTGTTAGTCGTGATAAGGCTCGTGAGAGAGCCAGGGAGAGAACAGCCAAGGAGAAGGAGAAAGAGAATGATTCTCGCATTGCGCATCACCACAACATAAACCCCATTTCTCAAAACTCCACATTTACTGAGCTTTTAACCGGTGGGGTTGGTAGTGTTAGAAATAACAGCAGCAGCAACAACAACAATAACAGTACTGCTAGTCCTACTGGTTCTGATGCAAATAATTTGTTCCAAAAAGCAGTCGCGGCAAGGCAGTGGCCTTCGACCCCAATGGACTGCTTCGGCTCAGGACTTTTAGGGCCATCCTCGTCGCGGTCAACTCATCATTCATCGGGGTTTCAAGGGCAAATCCAGTTAGGGAACTCAATCCCACAAGCAATGACAATGTCGATCCCACCATTTTGTGTATCGGGGGAGAATCACCAGGAGCATTTGCAACATTTTCCTTTCGTTTCAGATCATTTGATTCCAGTGGCCGCCACAACACAACCGCCGGCATCCAGCCGGGATTATAACCTAAATTTCACAATATCTTCAGGCCTTGCTGCAGGTTTCAATAGGGGGACCCTTCAGTCCAATTCATCATCACCGTCTCTTTTGCCTCACCTCCAGAGGTTTTCTACTTCTTCTACCATAGACGGATCTACCACAAATGTACCTTTCTTTATCGGTGCTGCAACACCACAAGCTATGGAGAACCACCACCAGTTCCCACCTGGGTTGCAGCTCTGCTATGGCGATGGAACCAGGCATTCTGACCAGAAAGGCAAAGGGAAGAACTGATTATTGCCTGTGGGCGTCTGTTTTTCTTGTGGCATCTTCTTTCAGGTAACATAAGAGCACTCGAATCTTTCTCAATACTCTTACGGTCATTTTACTTATCCTTTGATAAGTTAGATCTATGTTACATTTGCTTCCCATTCTAGTTGTTCTGTGATTCTTAATTTGCCTCTTTCTTTGTAAGCGTCATCTCCCCCCTCCCCCCTCTTGTTGGTTCTCGGAATACATGCGGACTGCATATTTTTACTCTATTAAAGATAGAATAGCTATAACATATATGAGTTTCTTTCTTGGTAACCATAAATTAAGTTAACCTTTGGTTGAATTTTTATGGGTGTTCTTTTCATGTCTTTATATTTTATATTTTTTTCATTTGCTTCCTGCATGGACCGCTGTGCATAGGTCATAGGGTGGTTGTCTCCTTGTTTGTTCTCTTTCTGGTTCCCTTCTCCCTAACATTATGCAATGACGGGAGTTAGAATTAGAGTCATGTGGTTGGCAGCTAATGGAACAAGAGTTCATTTCTCTCTTTAGGTTAGAGGGTGAAACCTTGACAGCTTTAAAATCCCAATCTTCCTTTCGCCTAATTCAAAACCTCACCACATCGCAATGGATCGGCGCTATGTGGGGCTCTGACAATTTTACTTAGGTTTTCAGTTGTTTCTGGTTCAGAGCAAGCCTGACAAGCTGGTAAAAACCATGCACGTAGCCTGGCACAACCTCCTTTCAATCACCACAAAAATTGCGGGAAAAGAAATATAATAGCGGGAAGGGTTTTCTTTTGACTATTCACTGTAGCTTTTGGATATAAACATGCATACACAGTCCCTTTTCTCCTCTTCTATTTTTCAGTTCCTTTTTTGTTCCAATTCTGAACCTTTTTTTTTTCCCTGATCCAAGTCACTCGCTTATTGGCTAGTAAACTTTATTTTAATATTAATTAATAAGATCTGAGCCTATTCATAAAAAATAAAAAAAAGAATAAACCTACATTCTTTATTCTGATTAATAGATATTCAAAACCGAGAGCCACAAAAAGATAATAGATCAGTAAAATGTTATTGTGATTGAAATCTGAATCTATTTACATGGTTTTAACTCGAGATTTCTTTCTAAGAGCAAGAGATTGTTTGTATGTAAACTGCATTATTAGTATTGGCTTAGTAAGATACTGTTGGTTGTTCTGAATCTTGAAATGTTGCATTGTGTGTGTGTGTGTATTCTTATTTCGCAAAATCCATTTTGATTTCACGTTTTAAATTTACAAGTTCATGCTTTCCATTCACTTAATTCGAACTTCAGTGTACTTTGGATTAACTCTTTTGTCTCAATTGTCCATGCAAAATCTTGTAGTTTTCCATCGCCTTCTTACACGTAATGAAAATATTAATGTTGGAATGTGCACTCTCGTAGAACAAAAAATTGTTGGCGGCTATTGGCTTTCATATTGTAGTTTTTTCATTGCACGAAACATCTTTACTGCAATGATTCTCTCATGTCCACTAACAATAGAAGAGAGGGATGAAACTGAAAATACAAATCAATAGTGATTGGAACATAATTTAACTAAGCAAGCAAAATCATGTTTATGTAATAAGCTCTTCTCAGAATAAAAACAAAAAAGAGTTTCATTGACCCTTCTTCTTCTTCTTCTTCAAGTTATTAGGAGGAGAAATATAAACAAGAGGAAACAAGATTACTAACTCGTAACCCAATTAAAGGGATCTCACATGTGCTTCTAGTAAGAACTGTACTCCAATGGCGGCATTTCTTTAATTTGTTCTCAAATCTTAATGTCATGGCTGTAGGCCTCTCAAAATTAGGCATTTAAGGAGCATTACTAATATCTAAAAACTCCTACAATCAACCTTTCTTTGAACTTTTAGGAATGGTTTTAATAGTTAAACATCGCCTTCCGGTATGCTTTAGTTGTTATACTTTGTCACTGGTCTCTTACTTTTAAATTGTGTAATAACAACTAATGTACCTCCCGGCACAGATTTGAAAGTTTCACGATCACTTTGAAAACAAGGCAACCACATAAACAAAATTTACAGAATAGAGTGATATTAATAGCATTTGTGCGATAAACGTCAGAGGGAGCAAGATTTCAAATAGGTGCGAGAGGTCATGGAGTCACAAGTTAATAGAGCCAATCATACCAGCACGCATGTGCATCAAGCAATTTTCATATCTTGGAGACACGTAGACAATTAGTCAGAAATAGGCATGTAAAAAAATTACAGAAGTTGAGAGGGTGAAAGAGAGGTTTCAGAAGGTAAGAATCCAAAACATATTCATTAAGTTTAGGAATGAATGATTCTATTTGAGTGCAAACTGAGACTGAACCAATGTTGAAAGGGTAGTAAAGCATGATGAGGGTACTCGGTTTGCCAAAATATGATTTGTTTGAGAGAGATGGGAGGGTGTTGAAGTGGGTTAGAGTTCATTCTCCTTCCTAACTTTTTTGTCTTGGTGGTGCATTTTGGAGTCTCTTTTACCCGTTATGAGTATCGTTTGGAGGTTTTAAGGCTTAAGAGATTTGATCATGGTGAATTGGTGTTCTCTTTCATACATGCTACCGTTTTTTTGTCTTGTCTGATTCCTCCGATGTAACTTAGGGCAGTTTAAGAAGTTCTTGAATCACTTATCATCAATTATGTGCCAACGACATTGTCAAATAGCTTAAGGTTTTGTCAAAACTATAACAAAAGACCATCGGGAAGATGTTTTGTTCATACTTGAGGTAAGTAGAAGCTACTTATTGCAATGCTACCTTCATTGGACAAGAACATGGGCAGTAAGGGTGAGATTCTTTCTGCTGAGTTTTGAATCAATAATTCATAAAGACCTGTATGTAGCTTTCTGCAACTAGCATCGATATCTCTTGTCCCACATTCAATGAACAAACTAAATATGTTCTCGGTGAAATAAAGAGTTTAGGGGCTTATGTTTCAGCACATTTGGGGTCTTAGGTGTTTTAGCAAGCATCAAGAAATTTGAAGTTAGTTTCTCTCATAATTTTGCTGTCTGGTTGCTTTAAAATGAGCCACTGTTAGAATCTAAATGGTAGAAGAAAACTGGCAACCAAAATTAAAGCAATTTAATGTGGACTGCATCTCTCAAATGATATCGTCCTGCAAGGCTTTGATTTAGTGATATTTGGTTTGCACTGTATTCTTTCCAGCTTTAAATGACATCCATGTAGCGGTATTATTGTTTTGACCATCTGCTTAAGTATGAATGATTTATTAATTGGCGTCAAGACTTCCCTCGAATTTTCCTGTGTGAATGTATAATCTTAATTATGTCCAGCACTGTCTGTCAGAATTCAAAATGCTGATTGTTTTGTGTTTATGAAGAGATTAACATTCACTGATGGCTTTTGCAGTTGTTTTCCGTTTTTCCAATTTTTAGTGAATGGCATGCACGCTGATATCAGAGGTTAATTTGGTACAGGAAAATGAAGATGGGAAATTGCTGCAAACCATGAACAAATACGTTCCTTCCTTGCATTGGATGATCATGATACCTTTTCATCATGCTTCTGAAATTTTTGGTATTTCCGCTTTATCCATTTATAAGTCGTTCAGATTGCATCCATATATATGTGTATGCGCGAATCTATGCGTGCAAAGCTTTGTGTGTTTTGAAGAAATATAACAAACGATTGAAGTTGATGTCTTTCTTTTTTCCTTGTCTGTCATAGTCAATACCATCAGTTGAGCCTTGTCTTGAATAGAATCTGCCTCTCCAAGTTGATTCACTCTTCAAGTTTCTACCACCACTCTTCTCTGAAACAAAGATCTTGGTTTATATATAGGTTAAAACTGACCCAATTAATCAAAAGAAATTCAAATTTAAGTAGGGAAATTAATTAAAATTCAAAAATAATTAAAATAGTAAAAATAGTATCTTTTGATGGGTTAGTGGTAGATATTAGATGAAATCTAATCTAAATAGGAATCCTTCTAAAAAATATATATTTATGTTTTTTATAATTTTTTATTACCTAGTTAATTTAAATTCTTAATGGATTATAATAGTTAATTTAATTCTGTAGAATATCAATCAATCAAAAGCTTGGAAGATTAAGTATTTATGCTTTCAACAAATGGTATCAGAGAGAAACTCTTTGTTTAGGCCTCCCCCATGCAAAGATTAAACATCTATAACAGCAACATCCATGTTTCTTCAATACCAGTTGCTCGTAGCAAATGATCCAACAGAGATTAGATCTTTCTAGCAGCAACAAGAATAGTGGTAGCTTTATTGACAACAACTATAACATAACTTCAATGACGAAGACGACAACAATCCCTTTTATACAAGCAACAACAGAACAACCACCACATGCGGTAGCAACAAGCAATAGTCATGTTTTTCCGGCAGCAACAATTTGTAACAGACCAGCTAGCAAACACTTTCCACCAGCACCTTCATGAACAACACCGCTCTTCACAGCCGCCGTACCAGCACCCTTTGCATCTGTTATCAAACACAACATCAGGAAGAACAACAGACCAACCGCTAAATGAAGAAACAACAAATGAATATAAGCAAACACAATATCAATATTTCTCTAAGCTTAATCCAAGAGCAACAAAAAGTAGACACGGTAGCACAACATAAAAGCACCAAAACAAGCTTCAAAACAATAAAATTCCAAAAACGCTAGTTTCTTCGTAGCAACTGGTACATTAGAAAACGTACCAACAGTCACAGCACCTAAGAAATAAAAGAACAAATAACGCAGTAGCATTAACATTATTTCAAGATACAAAAGAGCCTCAAATTGTTATGGTAGCAACTTTAAAATCAGAAAAAGTCTTTACAACGACAGCAGCAATGTCAACACAATAAATTAAAACTTGGCATTCGATAACTTTGTTCTACCGGTCATTCCATGCTTTGATTGTAATTATGATCGTTGAAGCATGGTAATGGAGAATTTCCTAAGGTGCACGAAGTATTGGTAAATTATTTTTTAATAAATAATTGAATTATTATCTAGAACAACAATAAAAAATGTATAAAAAATAAAATGAAAAAAACAATGATTAAAAGGTTTCAAGATAAAAACTTATTTTTTCCAATCAATTGATTGCTCAATCTTGAAAAGCATTTCTTATAACAAAACCTTTCAAGATATTTAGAACTTGATGAAAAAGAGCTATAAAGGAATAGGTAAAACAAAAAGGCAGGTTTTTTTTCTAGGCCAAATATATATTTTAACTATTTAACAATTTATAAAAGATAAAAAAACCTCTAGGCGACATGTTTTAATTTTATTAACTTTGGGGTTGGAATAGTATTATTACCATGCAAATAATCGTGAAAGAACTACTATATCCTTGTTAAAACGTTTAATAACTAGTAAACTTATGAAAAATAATGAAATACCCTTCAACCAGGGCTTTAATTTTTTCAACCAATGAACAAAATGATAATTTAATTTTTTTTTTTGTAAAAAGACAACATTAGCCTTATTCCAAGCCTTAAGAGCTTGAAAAATCCACCGTACAAGTCTATAATGGACTATGTTTTAGTCCAAAATCCACTTGCACAGGGTTGTCAGACCCAAACAACTTGAGTCTTGCAAACATACAAGACCCAAGTGTCTGGGTTAGCAACCATAACAACTCACGTTTAGGTCTGGCACCAAACATGGTTGCTAAACTGAAGGCTCATGGATATGAAATGGTTGTCAGATTCAAGTAGCGTAAGTCGAATGTGGTTACCAGACCCTAAAATGCTTGCACCTAGCATGGTTTCCATGTCCAGGCGCACATCTTAACACTTTTTTGGTCCTAGCTTGGTATGGGTTAGCTCAAGAATTTTTTTTAAAATAAATTTTTAATATTTTATATGATAAAAATTAAAAAACAATTCATGTTGTTATAAACTAAAACACTATTTCAAAATGTTTTCTATCTCACATTAAAAAAAATATTATCTTATCCTATTAAGTTGAAGTATTTAAGTCAAAAAAAAATTTTATTCCACATTGAAAAAATATTTTTTTTTTCTTGTGAACACACACATATGCATATATAGGCTTCAAATCTTATATTGAAAAAATAAAATATTTATCTAGCATTTATATAGTGAACTTTGATATGACTTGGTAACAAACTGAAAAAGATTAAAAAAAAAGGGGCCTCTAGCTAGGGGGAAAAAACATATTTGAAAAAAAAAAAAAAAGCTCTCTACTAGGTTCTGTTAGGTCACCTAAGTCTCGGGTTGACCCGTCATGTCAGGCTAGGTATGATAATTATGCTTAAACATTAAAAATTGAGCTTGAGAGCATTAATTATAACTTATTCCATTCTTCTCTAGTTCAATAAATTAGTTAATTAATCTTTAAAAATTTAAAAATATAGATTTATGTTCATTTTTACACTATTATTTTTTAGTTTTATTTTTCAACCAAACATCTAGGCTTGATAGTTATGTCAAATTCATGTATTTTTTTTAAATGTCAAACCCAAACATGATTGTCAGATCCAAGTAGTGTGTGGGTTTGACATAATTGTTAAACTCAAGACGCTTTTAGTGGTATGTTTGCTAAACCCAAGGCGCTTGGGCCTATTGTGATTGCCAGCCCAAGGCTTTTGGGTCTGGCATGGTTGGGTTTGACATTGTTGTCACATGCATCCCTAAAATTTAGTCAATTATTTTTTTATTAATCTTTAATTTGAATGAAAAAATCATTTACAAACTTGCACAAATTACGAAGTCAAAAAGACAATAAATCTTTTACATATATAATATTTTCATTTCCTACAACATAATGTATCAATTTAGAAGTTTAAAAATTTTGTATATACTAATAGTTATAATATAGAATAAGCTCTTCTTATAACAAACTTTGACAATTAGATCATGTAATAACATATCAAATTTAAAAAAGCTTGAACCTTTTAAAAAACTATCCAATATTTGGATGGAAAGTCTTAAAATAAATCACTTAGAATTTAATATTATTTTCCTTTCTTTCCTCTTTAAATATGAACGAAAAATTCTGCTTGAATAAGGTAGTGTTTGTTCTTACAGTCCAATCATGCTTTTAAAAAATTTTAAATTGTTTTACCCTAATACTTGGGTCTGGTATGGTTGGCAGACTAGCATTATAATTTACATTAAAAGTCTCTTGATCTACAATGATTTTTTTCATACAATTTAACTTTTGTTATCATAGTACCACTAGTTTGATATATTTTCTTTCAAAAAAATATGTCCTTTCATTATTATTTATTGTTAATAAAGATAATAAACATATATATTATGTCAACGACAATAAAGAAAAGGAATATTAAATGAATAGAACTGGGATATGGGTGGAATTTATTGAAATGATGTTAGTTTTCTATGAAATAAAGCATGAAATGAAGAAACTACATAGAAGTTCATCATGATGAATATAAAGTCCCATAGTATAAAATCCTAACATCTTTGTCATCTAGCATTCATGCCAATATAATATTGATTAGTATTTAAAAGTGTATTTTTATTAAGGTTTTATATCATTATTTTGCACTTGAAGTATCAATAACTCCTTAACTAAAACATGTTTTATAATAACCTATCTAATAATATAAGATACCTTTAATTTGTGGTAAATGTTCATCTTAAATGCAGGCCTATCACATAAATGAAAGGATTGATTGATGAATTTAAGAACTGAAATTGAAAGGATAAAAAGATGACCAAACTTAGAAAAGAGATGTTGGTGCAATCCAAACCAGAACACTGTTT